CATTGACTGTTGACCACTTATACTCCTGTGATGCAGTGCTGATGTATTAAAATAGTGCTGTGGGCAGCAAAAGGCTGCATAAACTTACTGCAGAGAATATCTTAGGCAGCTCTGGGAAATGCAGGTATGCATGTGGTCTTAGCTACTGGATGCTGGAATGCATATAAGGTGACTCAGGCTAGTCTTGGGTTTTTCTTTGTGATTTTGTTTTGGGTCTCTCAAAGGTTGTTCCTACAATGCTTTCTGATGGAGCTGTTTTGAAGGTGAAGTTTATATAATTTAGTTTTTAAAATATTGTTGTTCAGTATCTATACAAACTATATTAATTGACGTTTGGCCAGTTTTTATACAACTGTTCAATTTTATCCTGTTATTAATATCCAGAATTCAACAAAAAAAAAGATTAAGTATAATTCCTCCTCCTTTTTAATACTTACATTTCTTATATCCTTAACAGTCATGTGAGCTCAGGGCCGGCCCCAGCTTATTTTGCACCCTAGGCGAGGATCCCTTCTGGCGCCCCCCCCCCATGCGCCCCCCATGGCTCGGACCCGTTAACTGGATCTGTGCCCCGGGCCTCCCGTTCCCCTGGCACCCATGCTCTTAACACTCACTTTTGTTTTGTAACTTTGCCTGCTTTGCACATCTGGCTTCCACCAAGGAAGACTCTGCAAAGAAAGGCACTCGTCGCAAACAATCTCTGCTTCTCACTTGCCTTGACAGTTCCTTGCTGGGGTTGCCATAAGTCAGTTGCAACTTGAGTGTCCGTGTGTAATAGCCCCCCTACTTAGATTCTTCTTTGACTCAGCTGAGTGACCCTTCTGTGCCCAGAGGGCTAAGTTCTTTGGTGGAATTGGTGTTTGTATCATCAGAAAGATCATAACATGTTTAAAACTCAGTAGTGTTTACAGCTGAACCAGGACAGCGAAGGGGTGTGTGTGCCAGTTTGGTAGTACCCCTAAGGGCCGGCGCACTCTAGGTGAGCACCTAGTTCGCCTAGTGAGTAAGCCGGCCCTGTGTGAGCTGATATAAATCCTGGTGATGGATGGATAGATGTAGTCACCATCATCTGGGCATTACACAGAGAGGGGAAAAAATGCCTCTCCATCAGCCCCACAGTGCATAGTGAGCATGCTGGAGTCCTCAGCAGCACCCACCAATCAGGGAGCAGTGAGTGCATGCACTGGCTCAGCCAAATAGCACTCACCACTGCAACTCCACACACACACACACACACCGACAGCACCCACGTCGTCTCCCCCCCCCCCATAGGCGCAGCATGAGAAGACAGGGACAAGAGATCTGTCAACAACACAATACCCACTGGCAGGAGCCCTGGAGCTAACATGCCCTAGGGAGTTCCACCGATACGCATTTGGCCTATGGAAGAGTTTCTCTTTGTCAGGCAGATGGATGGAAGACATCTGGGCAGCAAACAGGCCAGCACAGCACCACTAAGGAGCTCAGGATGGCTGGGGCTTCCCCCTGCTCCATTTTTATGTTCACAACAACCCTACAAAAGCAAGTTAGGCACTAAGAATGTGATTGGCCCAAAGTCACCCAGTGAACTTTGCAGTCCAAGCTGAGATTCAGGCCTAGGTCTTCTTGGTCCTAGACACACACTTTGACAACACAGTCTCTCATAATGCTTTTTGGCCTGATACTGTTTGTATTTAATTAACATGGGGGAATGGTCTGGTCACCAGTTGAGTTGGGCTTTTATTGATATTGTAGGATGTGGTAAAATACTGAAAGCTTTCCCCTCTGGACTTTTAGGAGGTTGCTGTAAAACCTGTTATTTTTATAATGAATGGCATCTTGTTTTTATGTACTGCTGTCTCCAAGGCCATTACTGATGTATTTTTATACAGCACCTAATAGTGTTTACCTACATCTTTCCGTGGCTTGACATTGGCAGAAGAGCTAGGATCCCACATAACCAAGGCTGTCTCTGAGTGAGCCTTGAGATAAACAGGCTCTTGCTTCTGCCTGTTACACAAGGCTATTGACCATCTTTCGTGGCATATGTGAACTGTACCTGTTTTTGTTTCTCTTTCTTGCCTATTTCTAAAGAGTGTTGTCTGGGTTCCTCAAATGGCTTTTTTAAAAATAAAGGAGAGTCCACTTGGAATGCCGCCGGGGAGGGAGGGAGGAAGGGCACCCCCCCCCCCAAGCTGAAACAGTACTAGGGGAGAGTTATTCTCCCATTTTTGTTGCTTCATCTCGAGCACTCTGTCACTTGGAGCAGCAAAAATAGGGAAATAACTCTCCCCTCCCAGCGCTGCTTCAGAGTGGGGGACTGCTTGCGGGGGAGGCAGGAGGCCTTCCACCACCACCCCCCACGGTGGGGTTCTGAGCCCAAACAGGCTCTCCTTTATTTTTTAAAAACCGTTCCCCATGGCCCCAACTTTAGAAAAATAAACATGTCTAGTTTGGCCCTTAGGGCCAGTAGTGTTCTTGACTTACACTTTTATGTTTGCTAATCAGTTAATTCTGTACTTGGTTCTGAATTGGTTTGTTTTTGTTTTTCTGCTGTGGGCTCTTTCTCTCATGATCAGTTGAAATGATAATGTAAATGACTTGGCTCACCTTCAGTTTTATAATGTACTGTAGTGACAGTGCTTTATCCCTGGTGGCTGGGTAAACTGTGATAAATCAACTATAGTGCCATGAAATTGACCATGGGTCTCTTCTCTTTTCTGTGAGCAACATCTAATTTTGTCATGAGTAGGGGGCCTTGTACAAAGTTGTAATGCACCTGTATTTTCCGACACCATACAAATAGTTGTATGAGTTACGAAAGAAACATTTTTGCTTTGTTACAGAAATACCCATAAATAGGCTTGTATTGTGGCAATGGATTTGCAGCCCAGACTAGCCCCCATGCTTGTGTCTTGTGTGTTTTTAGAACCAAGATACACCATTTTGTTTAACCAACTGTAGTTTAGCAAGTTTTAAAAAGTATATTTTATCATATTCAGAACAGCTTAGTTTTTTTAGGAAGAAATCCAGTTCATTAAACAAAAATTAAGTATGTGTTCAATAACTAAGACTCCTTGAAAACAAATCTACTTTTATTGCACCTTTTGAGGACATGTTTTCATACTTTCCATCTTGTCTTTTGCAAACTGCTATCCTTGACTCCAAGATAATGAGAACTATTAATGTTTTAAAGGATATACTGTTTCTAATCTGTTTCACCCTATGTTGTGAGCGCTAAACAACTAAAGGCATACAGCGAAACACATCAGGAAATAGGCTGAGTGCTTCTCTGAAGCTTTAAAGTACCCCATTATCTATTTCTCAGAGAATGGAGTTTAAACAAATGTCCAGTTAAATATGTTTGTTTATTTAGAAAATTTAAAATCCTACCTTTCTATTATAAACAATATACTCAAGGTAGCTTACATCAGTGAACAAATAATAAAGACTTCAGCAACACAACCCTTAATGTGCCTAAGAGCAAGCAGCCAGCAGCAACCCAAGACAACATTTTAAAACACTGGCAATAACTTAGCCCTTAAAAATGTAAAACTGGCCAAAAATACAGCGCCAATAAAAGCAGTCCGTAAAATATACTGTGATACAATCAACCATCCACAGTAAGACAAAACCAGTAGTGCAGATTACAGTAACATCATGTCAGAAAAGAATAAATACTAAAAAGCCTTGACAAATCTCCAGGACAGAAAGGAAAAGGGGCCAGATGAGCCTCCTGTGTCAATGGTTTCCACTGAAAAAGCCCCTTATCATCCAGAACTGCCAGCCCCACTTCAGTTAATGCAGGGATGTGAAGAAAGGTCGTTCATCAGGGCTATTTTTGGGCAGGAACGCACAGGAACGGAGTTCCGGCTGGCTTCAGAGTTGGCCATGCCCACTACAGCCAAAACCTCTGCAGGGGTAGCTACAGAGGGAAGGCCTGGAGAGCGCCACCGCCCCCCCCGGCAACTCCGAGACAGGTGGGCCAGGGGGCCCCTGGAAGGATTGAGGAGGGCCGGCATGCCCAGGCTCCCCACAGCCACGGGGCGCCCGGCCAAGCCAAGGGAAGGCATGGGGTGTGGCCTAATATGCTAATGAGACGTGCTGTCAGGGGTGTGACCTGATATGCTAATGAGTTTCTGCTGTTGGGTGTGGTCTATTATGCTAATACGTTCCTGCTGGGCTTTTTCTACAAAAAAAGTCCTGGTCGTTCTTATGGGAGGACTGTACGTCACACATACCATGGTACCCATGTTTGATAGCAGCCATTCTAAGTAGAGTTTCTCTCTTTTTCCCTTCTCTAGTTTTTGACCCCTTGTCCTGCCAGTGGCCAACTTGCACTGGCACAATACGAAGACAAGAGGTTGAACAATCTGTTACAGAAAGGAGGAGCTCAACACAAGCATGCTGTTTTCTCTAGCAGCCTCACATACTTTGTCTTGAGTATTTGTGGCCTTGAATTTACAGTGGAGCTACATAAGAGAGAAAAACATACTTACCATTTTCAGGTTTCTCTTATAATGCTTGTGCAGGGAGTGTTTGTAGGGAAGATCTGGGGAGGAAGGGTAAAGACCCCCCCCAACATCAATCATCTACTTCACACATCCTCCTGGGCTGTGTTTAGCTCTGAAAAAGGAAATAAACCCATGGCAGTAGGTGTTGGTGGACTCAAGAGGATTTATGTGCCTGTTCTCTCCTTACGTATACACTCACCACTCACCACAAACATGAGCTTGGGAATAGGAACTTGCTGAGATAATCAGTTAGATCCACTGGTAAGTTCTGCTGATGGAGGGAATTTTTTTTGTCTCCCCTGCCCTGCTACAGCCCATATTCCCTAATGCTGTTCTGGGGGCAGGCCCCAAGGTGTAGCATAAATGGCGAGTCAGAGATCTGCAGTGGAAGCAGGGAATCATTTGAAATTGGTACAGCTCTTAGCATATTGTAACTTAGATGTGCTTCAAGTTTTATAATATTTTTCATTTTTCAAAATTGGTTACATTTTATCTTTCTTTTTACAGAAGTCCAGGAGGAGACTTGGGAGCTAAGAAGAAGAAAAAGAAACAGAAGCGGAAAAAAGAAAAGCCAAACTCTGGGGGAACCAAATCGGACTCTGCATCTGACTCCCAGGAGATTAAAATTCAGCAACCGTCAAAAGTGAGAGCCTGCCTTTCTTTTAACTGTGGTAGCTTAGTGCAGAATTCATAGTAGATGATGCTAAGTCAGATGTGATATACCTGCTGTCACAATTGCAGACAAGAAAAATAATTATTATTACTATTACTATCGTATGGCAGTGTGTGTAGTATACAGAACCTAAAAAGGTTAGTCAAGAATAGAAGAGGGCCAACTCTAAAAATCTAATTATGAAACATACAAAAATATACATATATTTATTGAACACAAATTAAAATAACAAATAAGGGCCCATTCATACCTCATATACAAATATAAAAATACAAAGGCTGATAAAATAGACCTAACGCGTTTCGGCCTTCACAGGTCTAATACAAATAGAACATGTTGGCTAATATGTAGAAATATATACAATCATACATATACAGAATATGGAATAAAGACCTGAAAACAATTGTTTCAAAGTTTAACCACTGGGCAAAAATACAAATGAAACCTCCAGTGCAATCACATGTCCAGTAGCACTTCTCTCTGGTCAACTATATATTCTCCTGAGATTGTATAGCCAAATGTTCCCAATGTAGTGTTCCTTTTAACTTGTTCTATTTGTATTAGACCTTTGAGGAAGGCCTGTGAAGGCCGAAATGCGTTAGGTCTATTTTATCAGCCTTTGTATTTTTATATTTGTATATGAGGTATGAATGGGCCCTTATTTGTTATTTTAATTTGTGTTCAATAAATATATGTATATTTTTGTATGTTTCATAATTACATTTTTAGAGTTGGCCCTCTCCTATTCTTGACCTTTTTAGGTTCTGAATTCTAGGTTTTAGGTTCCGTTTTTTCCCTTTTCCCTTTTTTTGTCCTTAGTGTCTGTAGTATAGCCAGGAGATCCTAAGATTGGCAGCCAGAAGTTCTAGCTCTTTTAGCGTTTTGCAAGCTAGACTTGTTTTGAAGGAAAGAGACGTTTCGTAGGTGGTTTGCCATTGCCTGCATCTGCGTTACAACCCTGGTATTCCTTGGAGATCGCCAATCCAAATACTAGGCAGCGCTGACCCTGCTTAGCTTCTGAGATCTGATGCGATTGGGCTCGCCTGGTCAGTTCAGACCGGGGAGGGGGGGGAGCTAGCTTAATAGATTGTTCAAGGTAGAAAAGCCAGACTGGGCTATTCTGGTAGATAAAAAGTGTGTGTGTGTGTGTGTGTGTGTGTGTGTCAAACAAGAAGTGTTTTGGTGGTTGTACCTGTTTTGCTAAACTCCCTCCCTAAATAGTTTCTCTTGCTCGGTTGTGTCACCAGGTTATTAACTTTATCAAGCTGGTGCATTCTCATTTTGGTGAACCGCTCAATAGCAGTGCCTTAAATCTTCTGATGATGCATTTGGGCATAGTTTAAAATGTTTTTAACTGCTTTTGTTATAATTCTGAGTTGTCTTAACAATATTTAATATATATGATGTCCCATTTTGTTTGGAATTATATCCATGTGGATATGTTTTTAAATGTGGTTTTGTAATAAGCCTCAGTAAATATTTCCTTTGTTGGAAAAAGGAACTAGTGAGATTATATCAGAATTATAAAAATTGTATTTCAGGGCCTTGAAACAAATATGCATTTTGTACAGGGTTTGTAATTTGTATGAGTAGCTGCATCCTGACTTGACCTAGGATGTATGCAGGTATGTGAATGTCATACCCTCCTCTGGCCTGGACACGGGGTGGCTGATTTGATTTACCTGCCAACTTTAGATCTTCAGGGTAGATGTCACAGTCTTGTCGGCAGAAGGCACTGACAGTTGTGGATTTGATTTACCTGCCAACCCCTCCAGTCCTTTCCTGATCAAGGGAGGTGTCTTCCTGGGGTTGTGGACCCCATGTGATCTCATAGCCATGTGAGTTGGGAGGCTGAAGTGGGACAAGGGGAAGGAGACAGGGACAAAGTTGCCCTTTCTGTATCTTCTGTCAATGCAGGGGGGGGGGGGGTTGTCAAAGAAAGACAGGGCAATTTCACCCCTTTTCCTTGGCCCTCTGCAGTCCACTGACCTACATGGCTATTACACCACATGGACCCCTTGACGGTGGGAATAAACTTTCTTGGAAATTGGAAAGGATTGCTGGAGAAAGCGAAGAGAGGAATTACCTACAATCCTTGCATCCACTGATCATGGCGAGTTAGACTAGTTACTTGGTGACAGCTCATGGCTGCTATTGTGTGTTTCTATTCACAAATTCTAATGTAATTAATATAGCTTGCTCATCTGATGATGGGCAAGTGCACAGATTCCAGTCTAATACTAAGTGTTGTGAATTGCTGGTAAATTAAGGCTGTATAGCTATGGTAGCTTTTTAGACACTGAGGAGTTGTTGCTCAAATCAGGATACACGTGTCAGGGCAGGAACGTGTAGAGGTGTCCCCTTGCCTGTACAGACCAAACGTGTGTACTTTGGGGCGCTTAACACTTGGGATCATATTGCCTGTGTATACAGAAGTGCAGATACAGATCAACACTCAGAAAAATGGAGGGGGGACTCTTTAACAAAAGGATTTTATTTACTAACAGAAAAGCACAGAACTGAAGCAATTTAGTAAACCAGTAAAGAATTAGAAATATGTAGTAGAAATGCAGTATAGTGTAACAGCAATAATAACACAAAATATTTCCCTTGAATGACTGCCTACCTACAGAAAATAAACGCATCAGAAAAAATAAAACATATGAGCCTGATTTTTTTTGGGGGGGGGAGGAGTTGTCCATGGCAGCAAAAAAGCTGTGTCTAGAATTTAAACTAAGGGGGAGAAGGCAGAGTGTTCAGTGCCCAGTCAACGGAGTAGAGATTTTGGATCCAGAAGAGATGAGGGACCAACTGTCAGTCTGGGATAGCAAGGATGTTTCTGCATTCAGGTGGGTATCCATGTTAGTTTGAAGCAGCAGAACAAAGTTTGAGTCCAGTGACACACTTAAGACCAACAAAGTTTAATTCTGGGTATAAGCGTTCGTGTGCAGGTACACTTCTTTTGTGCATGCACATGAAAGCTTATACCTAGAATAAAGCTTTGTTGGTCTTAAAGGTGCCACTGGACTCAAAGGAAGTTTCTGAACAGGCTACAGAAATTGGGGCTCAGAGGTGACTTTATATCCTTTAACCTGAGGTGTCTTGGTATTGAGATGTATAAATAATACAAATGTAATCTTTGGGGGTATGCAAGTAGGTGGACCCTTTGTCTGTTGCAGAGGGCTGTTTTCCCTTTTTGGAACTGGAGTGTCAGAAATGTTCCCTTAAGGAGATCTGGATGTCAGATATGTTTGCATCTATAGGTTAGGTACTTGCCATGATTGGGGAAGGGCTAGACTCTTCCTGTCTGATCGTTTTCATGGGGATTGCTGAGATTGGCCCATTTCTTATTGTTGTGGAAATCGAAGTCATTGTTTATGATCAGATTAGCTGGGAGGAAGCTCTGGGGTCCTTGGGGAACATGGCCCTCGACTGAATCCCTCTTAGGGTGGCTTTATGCTTAAATCTGATAAAGGAGCAGCCCTGCATTCCTTTCCTCCTTGACCTGACTCCCTACCTTTTGATGTCACTTGAATTCAAACTCCTATCCTTTCTGGCCCACCCTCAGGTGTACACCTATGCAGAAAGAGATCAAAGGGGGGGTTTCATTGGCATCATATTATTCTAGGCCCTTTTTTGCTCACAATGTGCACATTGATTTTTCACAATACATGCTGCAAAATAAACTTCACCCTAGAAAAGCCAAAAGCTGGTCCTAAGGTATGAGGTTAGCACTGCTGAAACAGAAATCTTTACAGTTGGGTGATGAGCACCTACAGGTTAATGCCTTTGCAGCTAACACAAATTAAATTAGGTATTATGAAATTTCTTCTGCTTCCAGGAGTCTCCCATTAACCCTGTACTGTCTCCAGGCTTAGTAGTACTGGATGAAGGCCATCACATTTATATCTCACCCTTCCACAGTGGAACTCAGGTGGTGTATGTGGTTCTCCTTTCCTCCCTTATTCCCACATAACAATCTTTTTGAGGTAGGTTAGACTGAGTGTGATGGGCCCAAGGCCACCCCTCAAGTTTTGTGTCAGTGTGGGGCTAGTGCTGTCATAATGCTGAGGGAGAAGTTGCTGTACAGGGAAAAAAATATCTGCACACCATGCAAGCCTCTAAACCCTCTTCAGGTCATCTATCTGTTTCAGTTCCTCTTAAGAAAGCGTGGGTTTTCTACATCAAGTTTTCAAAATGGTGACTGGTGGCTCATCCTTGAAGGAATGCCAAGCTGTGATGGCTGTCCTCTGTTTCTGCTTTTAAACGTCCGGAAAATGAGGCACCGTGCAGGATAAGAACCTGCATAGAAGCAGCAGAACTTAACAAGCCATCACTCTCTCCTGTCGGCTTTGCTCAGTGTGCTGTGATATATCTGGCAAAGGCCAAAGCTATCTTCAAGTCTAAGCTCTGCTATGAGCACTTTGCATAGCCTTCCCGTTGCATTTCCTTTTCTTTTAGCTTACCCCCACAGGGCTGTTGTGAGGATGACAAATATGGATTGTTCAAGCTCTTTGCAGCAGTGGTGTAGAAATAATTATACATTTCAGGCCTGCCTACACAGAAAGGACTTGTTGGCTTTCTACTAATCACGAAGCCCAATCGCTACTTTGCATGTCAGCAAAACTCTAGTCTGCCTGTGACCCATTGTGTTTTATATAGCACCTGAAAGTTATTTTTATCCCTTTTTACAAGCAATTGCAGCCTTTCATAAATTTTGATGTATCGAAATAAATTGTATACATCAACCTCCCCTCTTGCTCCAGTTTTATACTAAAGGCAGTAATGCTACACTCATTTATTTTGGAAAGTTCCACTGAAATCTCTGAGCCTTGCTTCCACTGGTTTAGGTTGCCAGTGTACAGTTTCCCGTTTCATTCCCTTGGTGGCTGCTGCCCCATGTTTTTCATAGAGCTGATGAGAAGTGTCAGTAAAGCTTCATCTCTGATGCAGCCTAATTCTTATCCTTACCCTTCTGTGGATGCAGTGAACTCGTCCAGACCTATTTGATGTCCTGCAGTGATTATGTCTCATATTTGCATGCGTTTTCAGCGGATGGCTTTTTTATCTGTAACACTGCTTCTCAGAATCAGACCTGTTCGGTTTAAGACTGCCAAAATTCAAATTCACTACAAGGCCTTAGACAAAGTTTCCCTCTGGACTCCCCACCCCCCCTTTGCACCATCAAGACCCAAACATCACATGAAAGTAAATCACACTACTTCCCCAACTCCATGGTCACTCGAAGGAGCATGGTCCCCAGAATTCTCTCCCCTGCCTTTCAACAGCCAATTCAGATAGTACAAGTTACTCTCAGCCCCCAATATCCTTGGGAAGCAGGAGAGAAAATTCTGGGGACCATGCTCCTTCGGGTGACCATGGAGTTGGGGAAGTAGTGTGACTTACTTTCATGGCTAAGTAGCCATGTGGAAGAAGTGAAGTCTCTCTCAGCACAGCCTCAGTGTAGACAGTGCCAGAAATGCCCCCTGTTTAGAGGAAACTAGGTCAAGTTTTATGTAGGGATCAGAGATCAACCGAAAATGTCTGTAATTCAGGGGGTCACATAAGCATCTAGGATATGACACCTAGCACTCCATATCTGGCCCCAAAGGAAGGTGAAATATCACTTAACACAGTGGTGAAACATCCTCCTGTCCTGGACTCCTGCCCTGACATCTTTGCAACCCATTCTTAAGGTGTCCACACCACCCTGAAAGCTCTGTGTGCAAACGCCACGTGATCATGGGAAAGCAATTCACTGATGTACACTTTTCAGAGGGAACATTCATATGAGCCTTCCACTTTCTGAAATATGGTCTAGCAAGGGCCAAGATTGTTTGTCAGCATCCGGCTGTAAGAGCTTCTAACTCTAGCCTATGAAATCTCTGACCAACCTTGTGGGGAGCCATAACTACCAGAGAATCCCTATAAGTCTGAGTTAGCCAGAAACGATATTTTTGTTTTTTATGTCCTTTGTTTATTCTTCCATAATGCCCCCATGTGCTTATTTCTGTGTGTTTAGAAATAAACCTTTGAAAATTGGATCTTTCACTCTGACTTGCTGTGGTACTCCCCCTCATGTGCTTACCACACTGTCCACCTGTGGGCAGGTGGTGTTGATTGCCTTGCAGAGACAAGGGATCCACCAGGCTTTCTTCCCAGTCAGAAAGGGGATTTTCTTACACGAGTTGCTGTGAGTTGTACCTAGATCCTCTTGAACTGCACGTGTGCATGATGGGCCTGGTGAGAATCATCTTCCCCTTCCATTTACAATCACCACGGAGCAATTCTAATGTGTGCAGCCTCTGGCTCCTGCACTCACATGAGTTGTTAGAATAAAAAGACTTCTGTGTCTGGACACATGCCAGGTCAGATTCCGGGCCCTTAATGGGGTGGATTTGGTTGCGGTCATTCAAACATGAGCTTGATCGTGGACTGTGTTAGAATGACAATAGTACATGTAAGACCCATCCTATGCCACTTGTGTGCCCTTTCTTAAACCTTGGTACAAGGTGAGAAAGGAAGGTAGCCCCCAGCAAACCATTTAACATTACAGTTTCAGTTGAAGGAGGCAGTATTTTTATTCTTATCATCTTGAATATTCTGTGTTGCTGTTTTGTGCTATTTAACTTTTACTTAAAGGGAAGTGAAACATCGACCAAAAGGTTTAAAAGAAAGTAAGAATAGGTCTGCCAGCAAGACAGTTGCGATTTTAGCCCTGCGTCACGCTGAAAGGGAGAGCGGGTTGCAAATTCAGTGAGCCATCCGTGTAGGTGGCTAAGTGGGAAGGCAGCTGGCTGTGCATCCCAAGTCATCTCTGTAAATAACTGCTTCAGCCTGGTGTTATAATGGAGCCACAGGCTCTGGCTTGCCCAGGCAGGAGCTCTAGCTGAATTTGATAGGGCTGGCACCTGTCCTTAGTGTCCCTGCAGGTGTACTATGTAAAAACTGGTGTTTGGGCTCCTGACACAAGCATAGGTTGGGAAAAGTAGAGCCGTGATCTAAGCAGACTAGTCCTTGTTCCTGTAATATTAGGCACCAGCATCAGATTCCTTGGCGTCTACGTGATCCTGCATCTGGTATTTTCTCCTTCTGTCTTGCTGTTATTATTGCTATGATACAAGGACATGGTGGCTTTACGTGGGAATGTATTGCAGATGTGGAAGCAAGGTTATATTTCCCCAGAACACAGTTTTTAAATACTACAGTGGTGCAGTATATTCAGGGGTGGAAAAAGCACAGCTAACTCATTCTCCCAGCAATTTGATGGCAGTTAGTCCAAGTTCATGGTGTCCCACGAAATGTTCTCTTACCAGAAACGTTTGATTTGTCTTTGCCCACCTGTTCCTTGTATATGGCCCATAAAGTTGAATGTCATGCATTTTGCCCTGCAGGCCATGTTCACATGCACTTCAAAGCAGCAAACCAGTTGGAGGGAAAAGTTCAGGAAGAAGATACGTTATTTCCTTCTCTGTTGGCTTCTTTTGAAATACAGTTGTACAGGTTGTGGCTTCTTTTTCCAAAATTTATGAGCCAGGGAATGATGGAGAACTTAATGCACCAGTGATTGGAGGGATCTCCTGTTCTCATCATTGATGTGTTCTGATCACACTCTACCCATGTCTTCCAAGTGTTTAATGGGGAGATGGCAGCACTCATGTCTGCCTGAGCGATAGTGCCAGTCTTGGCCATCCTTCCTCTAATGAAAGGCTGCTGGCTGTAGCTACTCTGGTTGTCATCTCATTGCTACTTGGTATTTTTCAGAGCAGAGCCCTAACACAGAAGGATGTCCCAGACCTCTTCAGCTACTTGGGGTACCAGGTGCTAGGCCTAGTTGTTCCAGGCACCAGCAGTGTGTAGGCATCTGGATTCTTACACGAGAGAGAGGGCTCGTGATTGTAGTTCCAGTAAAATACTAGTGACATGATGAGCCTGTCCAGAGAGAGGCAAACACTGCTGAACACCGTGGGCCCAGCTATACAGTTTTCGCCCACCATTTGAGGCTGGAGAGTGATAGTGCCGTGTCCCCCATTGCACAGACCTGAGTAAACCTCGGACAGGGCAGAGGAATTGCACACCAGAGAGTGCCCCATGTGTCTGCCACCTGCAGATTAATGCTCTGTGGGCTTCATCCTGAAGCCACTCTCAGCTCTGATCCCCTGGTAAAACTCATAGGCTAAATTGAGCTCTTCTTTCATTTTGTTCCCACTTGACAAGGGCCCCTCCCCTCAGTGCTTGGGTATTGCTGAATATGAGAGTGTTTGTTTGTTTTTCTGCCCCAAAGCCCTTTACAGAATAAATCCACTTTAACCAAACTGTGTTTCCACATATGGCTCATTGTTACTAAATGCAGTGTAAGGCTGCAGATTCTTTCACTTTAACAGAGTTTGTTTTCAAACTTGCTCTGTTTGCCATTTGAACTTTGCTCAGCTTAAACAGCTGGAGGAGAAAAGGGCGAAAAGGCTCTCCTGGCCCCTGTATATGTATGTTATACCCTGTACTATAAAATTTGTATTACAAATATTGCATTCAGGTTTAGCTGCAAAGAAACTGTTTTTGAACTTTACAAAAACAGAGGCACTTGATGAAGACAGTTAAAAAGAAAGTAAGAGAGGGGAGGAGGAAATCTATCCATAATTTTTGTTCGAGGGGGAAGAAAAGAAAACCTCCTGAATTGTCTAAGGGCAGCATTGAGTGTTATGGTAGACTTTGGCCTGTTGCTGACAATGGCAGCCCCTATTCCCCCCCCCTTTCCCTTCCTGTAACATCTGGTGAGCACCTTATATGACATGAGTTTCTCCACCCCTGCTCTACATCACTGGCTGCTGCCAGTGGGGGAAACCGGAAGTGTGATGATGTCACATAATGTGATCACGAGACAAGATTGTACAGGAAGGGGAGGAGTAGAGGAAACGCAAGAGCTTGAGAAGGTAGTAGGCCAGGAGAGGCTTGGATAAGAAGGAATGGAAGGAGTTGTCCTGAGGAAAACGATGAATATGAGAGAAAATGGGAGGAGGGGTGAAATGTGCGCGACCCGGAATTGTTGTAGTTCAATATTAATTTGAAATAAGAATGCCAATATTTACCATCTGCTTTCCTGCTGTTGTCAGAAATAAATTTCTAGTGATCTGTTTGAAAAATAAAGCACAGATATTGCCCTTAACTCTTTTTTTAACAGCTAATTTTGTTGGTGGGGTAGGGGAATAATTCTTGGGGCTGATGGCTAGGAAATATAATAGACTCCTCAATGGTACCTTTAATGTCCAGGTATGGTAAATGTGTGATCACAAAAAGATAAGACATAGTTGAAACAGGAGAGGCATACCTGTGTTTGTAACCAATAAGTTTCTCTTTATCATTCCATCTATCTCCGCAGAACCCGGCCATTCCAATCCAGAAGCTGCAAGATATTCAGAGAGCTATGGAGTTACTGTCTGCATGCCAAGGGCCAGCAAAGAATATTGATGAGGCGACCAAACGTAAATACCAGTTTTGGGATACGCAGCCCGTACCCAAGCTTAGTAAGTTCACATTAGCTGTATTAAGGAGAATCTGTGTTTAAGTCTATTAATTTGAAACAGTTGGTGAACATTTCAAGGTAGTTTTCCTCAGCTTTTCGAATGACATTTTTGAGCCAGTTTGGTGTAGTGGTTAAGTGCGTGGACTCTAATCTGGGAGAACCAGGTTTGATTCCCCACTCCTCCACTTGCACCTGGCTGGATGACCTTGGGCAAGCCATAGTTCTGGCACAGCTGTTCTTGAAAAAGAGCAGTTTCTGTCAGAGTTCTCTCAGCCCCACCTACCTCACAGGGTGTCTGTTGTGGGGAGGGGAAGGGAAAGGAGTTTGTAGCTGCTCTGAGACTCTCTTGGGTAGTGAAGGGCGGGGTATAAATCCAATCTCCTCCTCCTTAATAGTAAACTCGCAATCACTTAATAGTAGAATTGGAATAATGTCATTGATATACACTGCACTTTAAAGAGAAAAATAAACAGACATGACAACTCCCTGCCCCAAGAAGCTGACAATTGATGCTTTAACAATTGATATTTTGCAAGCAGAGGGGATACTAAAGTGAGGGGAACAATGGGGAAAAGTTAACAATTGGTGAATTTAAAAATAGTTGTTCCTGTTAGTATGTGATTTGGCATGTAAAAAGGGTTGGAGTAGCATGGAACTTATGCCTGGAGTATTTTACTGAGTTGATGTAAATGTGGGCAAAACATTTCAGAAATATACACAGAATGACTGGAAGTAGTCCATTTCAAATCTTCTCCCTTTCTTTTTTCTTTGCTCGAGCACAGCTGGTATATTTTATAAGGGAAAAGCAAAAGGAAGAAGTTAGATCTTTGAACTGTAAAATAAAAAATAACACTGAGAAGTAATAGTATATTTTTAAAATGAAGTGTTGGGTTTTGGATTAATTTTTCATCAGCGGGGCAGAACTTGCCTCCCCACTCCAATGACAGCTCGCTGATCTCCATGAGATCCTGCTTTTGGGGGGGGGGGGCTATAGAGGATCCTGAGGAATGACATGGGGGAGGGTCTGTAGTTGCAAGGGGGATCTGTGGAAATTGCCAGTTTAATTTTGATCCATAAATCAATTAATATTTTTGTTTTGTTGTTATTTTTTCTTGTTTTGTTGTTATTTAATGGTTTTACTGTTTTATCCTGTTTTTATGTATGGGCTTGTGTTCTCTTGTAAGCCGCCCTGAGCCCGCTCGCGGGGAGGGCGGGGTAAAAATGTTAACAATAAATAAATAAATAAAATAAATATGAGGCCTATGGG